ACCCAATGAGTGACGTGTCGCTTGGTCCAACTCACCTTTGGCCGGGTGATTTGGCGTCCGAGCATGGCGAAAGGAGGATATAAGGTGCAGTCATGCAAATTAAATACTTGTTCGGTTTGTTTGAAAGTATTGTTCGGTTAAATGTTTTGTGTGCCCACTTAGCAATCGCATGATTAGTTACATCCGCATGCATCATTACATATTAATTTTTGGTTACTGGGACTTTTAAGTCTCATTCCCCGTGGTTAATATTTTTACAGGAGCGAGTCCGGCCGAGAAAGCACCAGAGGTGTAACTGTGGTGTATGAGACACCATCTTTTATGTTGCCTCTTATTTTAGATTATACAATGTATCTTGTGCCAACTTAGGACATATCTTCTTTGTGAAGCATGTAAACTCTAATCCTTTTTATTAAAAGTATTTATATGACCAAGAGGATTATGTCTGTCCCTCTTGATTTATGATCTGATTTGAATAACATGCTATGAGGATCATGTCTGTCCCTCATGGTTCTAATTATTTTTTTTGAGATATTTTAAGACCTGTGGTATATTGTCTTGGATGTATCGTGGTAGAAATTTTTCTACCATGATAAGGGTTCAATGAAAAAAAAATAAAAAAAAAGGATTTGTTGAATTAATAACTTGTGAAAAATCGGTCTGTAAATTTGAGGGCGTTACACTCAACCTTTCTCCTCTTCTTGTTTGTTTTTTGGTTTTTTTTAGGAGAACAAGTGTCAACCCAGTTAAAACAATTGTCGCTTTTGAAAAATGTTAATTAATATTCTTATTATATATTTTGTAAAATGAAGACGCTTAGATTTTTTTCAATTATTAGAATTTTCTTACAAAATTATAAAAAATCCGTTAAGAACATTAGGAACAAATTGTAACTATGAATTAAGGATGAAGTAAACTAGAATTATTTTTTGTTTTTATTAATTGAATCAAATGACTAATTAAATACTTGGTCCTTTCGACAAAAAAAAAAACATTGGTCCATGGATATATGAATTCATGTAAGGTCAAGGAAAAATTGTAGATAAGGAACAAATGGGTAAGATATTTGGGAAAAATGACCAGAGCTTAAAGGTTTAAGATTCTAAAATATGTAATTGAACTTTAAGAGATCTTAAAAAATTTGCGTTAATGATCCTTGAAATTCTATTGTAGATCTGCAATGTACCATAAAAAAATCTCAATACTTGGTCCTACTCCCCAATATTTTACTCAATCCATAGGCACAAGTTTCCTAAAATTTATTGGGGAAAATATAACTTTAATTCTCAAACCTTTTTATATTTAATTATATATCAAATTCCTGAACTTTGCAAAATAATTCAATCATATAATTTATTAATTCAAAATAATTTAATTCTTATAATTTATTGACTCGGGTCAACTTAGTCTTTATAAATCCCTAACTTAATAAGCTAATAATGATTGAACTGTACAAAATTAAAATTTAAAGATTAAATTGATATTGATAAAATTTAAATAGTAAAATTTATATCATCCCTGTTTATTTCCTCCTCGTTTGCTAGGCGGTCACAATCATTCACTAATATGTGTCACCAATCATGAGTAGTCCTAATCTTTAAATCCCAACCTAATATATATATATATATATATAGAGAGAGAGAGAGAGAGAGAGAGAGAGAATGAGCGAGAGAGGGAAGTGGTGGCAAGGTGAGGGTCCATGATTTACAGAGTGTGTTGCAATTATTTATATCATCAATTTCATCTCAAGCTAAGCTTCAATGTCACAATTATTCCTCTAAACCCCACTCCAAAGCTAAAAAACTAAGTTCAATAAATATTTCGATAACTATAAAAACATCTTTGTCAAATATGCATAATTTAACGAGAGTATTTGATATCAATCACTTACCAATTGAAGTAAATCCAGTGCAATAATAAAAGCATTTTAACTCCTTCATTTTACACATGTAACTATTTATTTATACAAAACACAAAATGAACTTTACACACACACACTCTCTCTCTCTCTCTATATATATATATATATATTTATATAATTTGTGTGTATTTTTACCTTCTTCAATTTGTGAGTATTATGATTGCTTATATTTTTATATTTTATATTGATATTGATTTCATAACAACTAGATTGGATTGCTGCATTAAGGGTCCGTTTGGATTTCAGTTGGGTATAATAGATTATGAAAATAATTGATTAAGTGGTAGATTTTAATCATAATTGATTATGTTATAACGCAATCTGTTTGGATATTATTTTTCTAAAATTGATTTTAACAGAATTAAAGATGTTTAGATAATTTAAGTAGAATCAATTTTAGTTATATAAATTACTATATAATTTAATTTTTAAATATCAAATATCAATTTTTTGAAGATGCAAAGTTCAAATTTTATTAAGAAAAAAAAAGGAGAAAAGAAGAGAGTTTAGTTTTATTTTTATTAAATTGTGTGCTTTTTTTTATAATTTTTGCTTGGGCCTGTCTTTGTAATTTTCCCCAATATTTTGGACAAGCTTCTCCGCAGAAGCTCTGATTCTCAGCTTCCGAAAATAATTGATTTTTGGCCTGAAAATCGATTCTCCAAAAAAGTGGGTCTTTGGTAATTTTTTGGAGAATCGATTTTTTGGGCCAAAAATCGATTATATTTACTATCCAAACACACTGTAAAAAAGCATACTAAATAGTACCAAATTGTAATCTATGACATTTTTTTTTATCATTACACTTTATGACATGTGAATAATATAACTAATTACTCCCTTTATTCAAAAATGTAAAGTATTTTTTGAGGAGTTGAATGTTCAAAGATATAAGACATGTTTAGCCTTTTGAGATAAAATTATTGCCTTTTTTTTAAAAGTATCTTTACTAATAATGACTTTATATTTATTATAGGATATTTAATAGAGGTAAATATGAAAAAAGAGGGTTAATTTAAAAGTAAGTAGCTATTTTATTAGTAGTGAGATTCATTTAAAAATGCCTTACATTTTTTAATAGGGTGAGTATAGATTTATATAATGCATATATTAAATCACTAGTATCATATTAAATAATTGAATTTGATTATATTAAGAAATTAGTTAATCATTTCTTTAAAATAATGTCCTCAGCGAAATAAAATGAAAATGGAAATAAAATTTCACAATCTAAATTCTCAAAAATTAACCTAAAATGAAATTTTAAAGAATTAAATTAAAATTTTAAGATTAAATATTATTCAATAAAAGGAAGTAAAATGAAAGAATAATTGAATTTAAGGGGCACTCGGTTTGTTCAACTAGTTAAGGAGGTCAAATCAACTCATTCTAAAGTCTCAAGTTTAAGACATATATAAGCATTGAATAAAAACGTTGAAAATATCCCATAATACTCGTGAAGCGTAAATAAATTTTATAATATCAATGACAATTGGTTATAGTAAAAGGAGCTCGATTCATGTAGAATCAGAACCTGAATAAACAATCAATGCAGGTTGGCTCAGATGGAAAATGTTTGAGGTGCTTAACTTTCAACTTCTGGGTTTGATCTAAGGGTGTTCAAAACCGATCCAAACCGAAAGGATCGATCCAAACCAATCCAAACCGACAAAAACCGATTAAAACCGAACAACAATCAGGTCTACTTCGGTTTTTATGATATAAAAACCGATTGGTTCGGTTCAAGTTCGATTTTGAATACTAGAAACCGAACCAAACCGAACCAAACTTGATTAAAAAAATTCTATTTATTTATTTGTAAAATATATAATCATTTATCTACAAGAAGCATTTTGTTTTGAATTTTTTATAGTAATAAATAAACATTTTTAAAATACTTGAATGAAGATGCATAATATTAACTAATTATAATAATCATGCTATGATCATCATTTAATTATTTACAACCTAAAAGCCTCAGCATTCAATTTATCTACAAGAAACATTTTGTTTTGAATTTTGTATAATAAATTTTTCATTATTTATTAAAATATAGATACATAGATAAACATTTTAAAAGGATTTTAATGAAAATACATAATATTAAATAATTTTAATCTTAAAAACTTATATCAATTTTTATGATTAATTATTGTTATCACATTGAAATTTTATTATATTTTTATACCTCTATTTATGAAAAAAAGGAGTCAAAAAGAATTAAATTTAATTTTAGTACATAGCACCATTATGAAGATGGAGAAAAGGAAAAAAAATTAAATAAGTACATTAAAACTTAATCAAGACCTTAACCAAACCGAACCAAACCGAAAATAAAACCGAACCAAACCGAACTTCATAAAAACCGATCAGGTCTCAATTATCAGTAAACCGAATGGTTCGGTTCGGTTTGGTTTTTGCTCAAAACCAAACCAAACCGAACCTATGAACACCCCTAGTTTGATCCTTAAAGTAATAGGAATGGAGATGATGTGTTTAGGAGAATTACCTCTTGCGATGGGCTTGATCAAGCTTGAACTTGGATTAATTAGAGCTAGTGGCAGTTCTCAATAAAATTGAGGATAGGCATCTAGACTATAATTGATATTAGCTGGCATATTTGCGTAACTCATATTTATTAGGAAGAAAATTTTAGTGCGAATTGATTGACTAGAGCCTCTCAAAAGAATGTGAACTATAAATTTTGAATAAACCTTCTAAAAGCTTACTTGATCTATTGTATGGGGATAAACTGAACTTAACTTGTCTATAATTAATTTTAATTTAATTTTATTTAAACTTTGCGCCTCTACATACCAAAAAAAAATTGAGAGAGGGCACATGCTTTCACTCAACTTGAAAAAATTTACAAGTCATAAATTGAAATTTTTGAAAATTTACATCTACTGTCCCAATAATTTTGAACACTAAACTCAAAATTAAATGTATGGGTTTTTCATAATATAAATTTTTATTATTTTTTATAGTATTTTAATTTTTATGACAAAAGAATTAAAAGAAAGTCTCATTGCAGGTTTCTCTCTCCTAGTCCCTTCATAAATTCTCATTCGTTCTCAAGCAATTCCCCTTTCTCTCTCTCTCTAGCTCACTTTCTCACTGCCTCCTCTCTCTATGAGAAGTGAGATACCCCTCCTTGCTAAAGAAGAAGAAGAAATAAGGAAAGGAATAAGGAACAAGGCATGAAAAACACCTTAAGGTGTTGCATCTCTTGCATTCTTCCCTGCGGAGCTCTCGATGTGATCCGTATCGTTCACTCCAACGGCCGCGTCGAGGAACTCACCGGCTCCGTCAAGGCCTCCGACATCATGAAGGCTCACCCTAAGCACGTCCTCAAGAAACCTTCGTTCTCCTCCTCCTCCTCCGCCGCCGCCTCCGACGGCGTCTCCCCCCGCATCGTCATCGTTCCTCCCGACGCCGACCTCCAACGCGGCAAGATTTACTTCCTCATGCCTCTCCCTCCGTCCGCTGCCCCGCCGATGCCGGAGAACAACCGCCCGAGGTCGTCGTCGGGGTCTGCGACGGCGAGGAGCAAAAAGAGGAAGGAGCACAGAGAGAAAACGATCTGTAATGGTCGTGCCGGTAATTTTCTTGTCTCGTCCGATCGTTACTTGAACGATATCCTGTCGGAGAAGCTCTCGACGCAGCGAGAACGAAGACGTGGACGCGTCGCCGTGTGGAGGCCTCACTTGGAGAGCATTTCAGAGTCCATCATCGATTGATCTGTAACGAGAGCCGCGCTCTGTTCTTTAATATATTTTAATTTGTTCAAAATCTTTCTGCTTAATTTGCTCTCACGAGGCTTCTTCTTCTTCTTCTTCTTCTTCTTCATCAGTAATTAAATCCACATATGTTTAGAACTCAAACTATACTTCTCAATCCATTTTTCAATTTACAGAGAACACATGCCGTTCTGTTTTTCTTCTCTGCTTCGTCATCCTCCTCTGCTTTTGACTCTGTACTTCAACTGAGTACTTAATTAGGTTTTATAACTCTAATTGAGAAATAACAAACACTGTGTAATTAACAATAATATCTTAGGATTTTGAATCTGTTTTAGAGTTGGAGATAGATCACCTGAATCTTCTGTTAACTATTGAGCTTTCATGATCATTCTCTGGGTTTTTTCCTTTTTTTCCCCCTGTTCGGTACAGTGGAACTCCGTGGTTTGAAACTTGACAGATTAGAGAGATTCATTGACGGAAAATTATTACTAACCATCCAATTATTATTATTATTATTGGGACCTTTTAATCTAAAGGTACAGCCTGATTTTCTAACTTATAGATGTGGCTTGAATTTATCATCATCATATCAAATGTCAACAAGGTTAATCAGCCTTCTAAAACCTAAATTATTGCGCCACAAATATTTTGGACTCTAAATTTTTTAAATATGTTAAAAAAAATTTAACTTTCAAATTTTAAGGGCATTAAACCTCGTCATTAAATCAGAAAAAACAATTATTATTTCTATAATTGTGGCACCCAATGATATGCTAGTGTGATACTTATCTTGATCAATAAAAATAATGACTGTTTTGTCTGACTTAAAAGAAAATTTCAGATGCTTAAAATTTAGAATTTGAGAGAGAACTTTTACACATTTTAAAAATACAAGATTTAAAATATTATTCATGTAATAATTTAAGGATATAAGATGCTCATTAATTCATAAACAATATCTCTATTGTAATGTCCAAAAGATGCAAGTTTAAAGAAATGTTATTTTTGAGTTATTTATAAAAAAAACAAATGATAATTAGAATGATTTAGTTTGTCAGAATGGTAAGAAACCCACTCATACAAAGTATAAAAAGATGCAGGTTCAAATTAACAATAAAGATTAAGTCTGGCTTTTTTTTTTTTTTGAGCAAAAAAAGATTAGGTCTAGCTAAAAAAATTAATCTTTTACAACTTGGGGAATCAATGTTCAATTTGAATCATCATTAGGTAAAGATGTTTCTATTAAATGTATGATCGTGTCTCGGAAAATAATGAAACATATCAATTCTAAGTAAGTCTAGTGAGTTTTTCTCAACAAATAATAATTATTAATTATACAAAAATGTAATCAGGTTGCATGGTTGATAGAAATCGAGGTACACTAGAAAATAATTCAGGCAAGATGTAGTTATATTTGACCTTAAAAAAAAAAAGATGCAGTTATAATTTCAAAGGATAGAGGAAAAGGAGGTGATAATTATCTAATTTTGGGGAAGGTATAAAGATAAAAGCTTGACAAGAAAGAAAGAAAGAATGAATGAATGGGGTTGTGATTGGTTGTGTGTGCCTTGAATTGATGTGAAAGAGTATTACATGAGAAAAAAGAAGTGAGAGACTAAAAGATTATAGATCCTACTTTGCACTGTTCAATGTTGAGAGACACCATCTGTAAATTCCGTATAATGGATGGTGATTGCGACGTGATCGATGTTATGTGTTCCAGGGAAAATTATAGCTGGGGAATAAATAACAAGTATAATTAATTAATTTTGCTTCTTCAAACACAAAAATAAAAAAAAGAAAAAAGTTTTGAAAAGTTAAATTAAAAATTTTAAAGTTAATACTCCCTTCATAAAAATATAATATATTTTTAATTAAATCTTATCTTTTTAATATTATATTTATTTTTATTAAATATTTTATAACAAATATAAAGTCATTTATCAATAAAGATATTTTTAAAAAAAGATAATAATCATATTTTAAAAGATTAAAAATGCTATAAATTTTTTAATATTTAACTTCTTAAAAAATATTTTATATTTTTAAATGAATGGGTATAACATGCCTTTAAATCAAACTTCATTTTTTATATTCATTCTTTAAATTAAAACATACTAAAAATTAAATGCATGTTAAATTACCTATTTTTAAAATACTTTTTTCTTTGAAAAATAAAAAATAAAATAATTTGTTTGAAAATGTATTTTTTAATTATATGTTCTAAAAATTAAAAGCTATATTAAAAATTTTACTTTTCCTCCATTTTGATAAGATTTTTTAGGCATTCTCCCTAATTTATTGCCCGATCGAATTTCAATTTACATATGTCAAAAATATGTTTAAGAGATCTGACTACCTTTTGGATTAAGCAAAAGCATATTTCAGATCTGGTTTTAATATACTATTTTGATTTATATACGTTCCTCTAATCCAATTTATATATATATTTTTTGGTGAAATCCTCCAATCCAATTTATAAATTATTTTCAATATATTTTACTATTGAATTATAAAAACTTTAAAACTTATTGATTATATTTAAAATCTTTAATAAAACTATTATTTAGTAAACTCAATAATAAAAATTATAAATAAAAAAAATTACTCTCCATGTTGTATAAATAAAATTGGAGGGAGTAGAAGGATCCGTGTGAGGGAGTGATTTCTAAGAATGGAAAAGGTTGGGCGATGAATGGTTCTCGGAGGAAAACGATGAAGTAGTTCGCTTCGTCGGTGTCAGTCTTTCTGATTTCTTGAAAGAGTAGAACATGAGAACGTGACCTCAGGCTCCCTTCACTTTCCTTACCTGCCGTCACAAAATAAAATTCAACTTCTTTATTCAACTAATTAAAATAATACCTATTTTCTTCATTTAAATAACTGATTAAAAATTAAAAAAAAATAGTTGGGGACTTGAATTTCGAACGCTTACGTTTACACTCTTCCGTTTTCAAACACTCCTTCCATCTTTTTAAAATTATTTTTAACATATTTTATTAAAATTTTAAAAAATATTTAAATTTAATAAATTTTTAATTTTATCTCTATTAAATATCATACTTTAATAATATTTTTTTAACATTTAATAAAAGATGAAAGGAAAAAATTTATGATAAAAATTTAATAATGTAACTTATCAATAGAAAAAAAAAAGTTCTCTTTACCTTATAAATAGAACAAGAGAAAGTATAAAGTATTTTTAACTAACTCTCATATATCAATAAAAATTTATTATTTTAGTTGAAATCACGTAAAATCCTAATAATTTCTTAGTTTTGTGTCTAATAATATTATAATTAATATCATAGTAATAGATAAACTACATAGATATTATCTCTTTCCTTTTTTAAGACAAGGCAAAATTGTCTAACCATTAAAAAATATCATAATATTCTTTATATTTAGAGACAACGTAAACTTATAAAAAATATTATATATATAAAGATAAAGAGAGTATAAGAGAAAATAATCAATTCATATAATTTAAGCAAGTAATTAAATATAATAATTATATCTAAATTAAAAATTTTGGACTAAAAATTAAGAGATGTATAATCTTTGTTCCCAATAATTAAGGAGAGAGGACTTCTACTGTTATCGTTAGAGTTTACATCGCATGGTGACAAAAATAAAATAAAATAAAGTTCTTAACTCTCTTTCTCTCTTTTTATTCCTTTTAAAAAAAGAAATTCTTTTGTGGGACCCATTAAAGCAGGGGGATAAATTCATCCATGTCTTTGCAGTGCAAAGCCCAGGTGTACTTCCCCCCAAAAATGAGGAAATTCTAAAATAATTCTATAATTAACAACTCAAAAACAAACACGAAGTCATGGCACGAAGAGGAATATTAATATGTATAATTCATCTACACCCTCGGATTCTACAGCGTTTGCATCTTTCATCTAGATTTTTTTCATGCGGGAAAAATAATAACTTAATTTTTTTTTTAAGAAACTGTATTCATTTTAACATTGAAATTTGATGCGTATCAGATTCTTTTATAATTGCAAAGCATACATTAATATAAGAATTAATGAATAAATAGAATCTTAAATTATTACTTAAAAATCATTATGAATTTTAAACTCTTAAAATATATAAAATAAATCTTAAAATTTATAATAAAATAAACCTTAATTATTAACTTTTAATACCATTATCATTAGTGTCCGCGCAACACTAACGGTAACAGTGTTAAAAAGTTAATGGTCAGGATTTATTTTATTATGAATTTAAAAATTTAGGATTTATTTTATATTTCCTCTGTTCAAAAATGTAAAATATTTTTAACTAAATTTCATCCTCCAATAAAGTAATTACCTACTTTCAAACTAACCCTATCTTTTTATATTTACCCCTATTAAACACCCTATAATAAATATAAAGTCATTATCAATAGGAGCATTTTTGAAAAAAAAAAAAAGCAACGATACACTTCAAAAGATTAAAAATGTCTTATATTTTTTAATATTCAACTGCTCAAAAAATACTTTACATTTTTAAATGAATGGAGTATATTTTAAGAATTTAGGATCCTATTTACTTATTAATCTTTAATATAAAATACAAAATATATAAGGAACAACTCTATCCTCACACTAGTTGTTGGCCAACATCTATATCTAGTTAATTATAATTGTTTATAATGTAGAGTAAATTCTAATTTTTTGTAGTAAATATTAGTTGGATAAATTTGATATTATATTATTCGTCGTGTTAAATTCTCCAAAACAAAAAGTGAACTTTTGAATTTGAAAAAAAAAAATTAACCAAAGAGATAACTTTGTGTTAGAAGGGATGGAGGGCCCCTATCCTGCTTTCACTATTGAGTATTAAAAATAAGTTATAAAACCTTCCAGCTTGCACTATTGAGTGGGATATGATGAATGTGATCTCTTTTTTCTTTTCCTCAAATAAATAACCTCTTTATCTAAAGTTCATTTATTTTTTTTTGTTTTAAAAAAGGCACTCTAATTTATTAATGAACACTTAAATATATAAATTATACCAAGAGTGAGCTTTACTTAACAGAGTAATATTATCTCATTTACTAGATAAAAATTGATTCTCTAATCCCTTTTTATTCCATACCTAAGCTTCCCACTGAAGTCTTTTTCCTCAAAAAAACAAAAAACAAAAAGAAAAAGGAAAAAGTATTTAAAAACAATAAAATACTTTGATGTTAAATGCACA